AAAATCAATTTTAGCTTCTCGGACTTGATCCGTACCTTCGTAGGTGATTTCTAGTTTGTCCCACATTTCCTTTGCGGTGGTGCAACAAGAAATCTTCCGGTAGTCATCCGGGTTAACGGCACAATAGATGATGTTGATGGCCTTGGCATTGTTTTCCACTTTCTTGATGTCTTGTGCATCATATTCATCCTCGGTCTTAGGGACGTTGGTTTCCTCGACCTTCTTCATTGGCACGTCCTCACCATTTTTGATAATTCTCCAAAGGAGAAAGTTGGTGGATTGGATGTAAATCCTCATCCGCTCCTTCCAATAGGTGTAGTTTGTTCCGTCAAACAATGGAGGCCTCGTGGTGGATTGCCCTTCACCTAAACCTGCGTATGAACTTTGAGTAGAAGCCATTGATCGTTTCTCTCAAACGGTTAAGTCTTTCAGAGAGTACGGCTCCAATACCAATTGTTAGAATAAAGGCCCAATGCTAGAGGGGGGGGGGGGTGAATGGCGTTTAAAACAAAATCGCAGGAAATTAAAACGAGAGTGATAAAGTAAAGAGCGTGAGGAAGGAGCACACCGAATTTTATCCTGGTTCACCACAACGTGTGGCTAATCCAGCCTTTCGAGAGACTCTCTCGAGTTACACTAACTCCGTTAAGCTTAAAGGTGCTCAACAAACCGATACAACTTGAGAACTCAGGTCGCACGAGCGTCAACGCCTTTGCTTGGAGATACCGCACTCCAAGACTTCTCACGAAGGAGCGAAAGACTTCCTTCGAGTTTACGACAAGGGAACAATCTCCCTTAAAGTGTATAGAAACACATAAACACTAAGGAATAAAACTCTCACAAAGAGTAGATATGAGTGAACTAGTAAACGCTCAAGAACACGACAATTTCACTACAAGAATTTATCTAGTCTGCAACGAAAATCTTCTACTGACATATATCCGTAGCAGATCTGCAACGGAGTAGTAATTTCTGAAAAAGGAACACTATCTGCGATGGAACATTTGTTTTTGTCGCAGATCTGCTACGGAATAAAGTGAGGTAAACATTTCGTGTAATCTGCAACAGAATCTGCAACGGACTTATTTCCGTTGCAGATCATTAATTAAAATCGGGTTATCCTCTTTAGATCTGTAGACGAAATCAGTTCACAGATCCAGACAGACCCAGCCATCTTCCGTCCAACCAACTTCGACCGACACATCTCCTCTGCGGCTTTCCTAGACCGCCGGCCGCCGTCGCACGGTTTGTTGACGTCGTGGCGCTCGTCCTCCTTGCCTCGCCGTCGACCGCGCAGCCAGTGTCTCCCTCCTCGCCTTGCCTTCGACAGCCAGTGTCTCCCTCCCTCCTCGCCGCCGCCGCCAGTGTCTCCACCCCTCGCCGCCGCCAGTGTCTCCACCGCCATCTTCCCCCACCTGACCTCCTCTTCCTCTCAAGGTATTTCAGTTTAATTTTATACAATTTATTATTATTGTAATTTTTTGTGAAATTGAATTCCGGCGGCGGAGAAGCTGAGGCCTCGGAAATTCCAAGTGAGAGAGATTTGGATTTGGAGATGGTTTGGAGCTTGCTTTCGGACAATGATTCTGATCCAGCACAAGTTTGCCTACTTTGACTGCTTCTTGAGTTTGATCATTGGCTTTTTTGTTTCTTCTTTAAATCTGATTTATAGTTCACCTGGCAACAGAAAAATAGTGTAGTTTCAGTCTGGATGTCTATTTTGTTCTTTCTTGGCATGCACATTTAAGCATTTGTTTTCCAACTTTCTCCGCGCATGAGTACTGATGCAAACAGAATTGGTGGTTGATCAAAATATGAACCGATTGGTAAGATATATTTTATAAACTTCAGTGGAGGTTCAATTCCATTTTCTGAAAATATGAATCGATTGGTAAGATATATTTTATAAAATAATAGATTTGCACTTGTTATTCGGTGGACACTAAATTTACAATGTAATGGAAATGTTCATTGAAACTTGAAGGGTAAGAAGAAAGGGGTGCCTGTGCCGTTGGATGAGGTTATCATCCACACAAAGACAAAGAAGCACAACGGAAAGACTTGGGTGGATCCGGGACATGGTGAGCTACAGGTACTTTCTGTAATTTGCAAAACAATTTAGGTTCACGCTCATAATGTTGGTGTTTTTGTCTTAAAACTTCTAAAGGGTGATAATGTACTTGCTTTCTTGTGTAATTGAATTGTTTTTGTTGACGTTATTCTTGTTGTTGATGTTATTATTAATCGTCTTGTTATTATTGTTGTTACGTTGATGGTGTTGTTGTCGTATGACACTATTTTTGTTGTTGCGTTGATGGTGTTGTTGTTGTCATATGACACGGCTTTTGTTGTTGCGTTGATGGTGTTGTTGTTGCAATATGACACTGCTCTTGTGTTGTTGTTGATGTTGTTCAGTTGCTGTTCATGTTGTTGTTCTTGCTGTTCTTGAGGCTATTATTGTTACGTTGTTATTAACTTTCATATATTGCAGGCCAAATTCTTCGAACTGCGTGAGGAGGCTTGACAGAATGGGCTTAAAGGCTAGACAGAATGAGTTTGTAACTGACGATTCAGGAGGAGATAAAGAAGTTATATGGTGGTAACCTTCCTCTAGTAGGCGATGATGATGGAACGGGAGGGGCAGGGCAGCCCGGGATTTGTTGACACCTTTGACATTTGACACTAACACTTTAATATTTAGTGTTTTTACAATATTATGAATTATGTTACACTTGCACGTGAAGTTTGTATTAATCTAGTTTTGAATTATCTATTTCGTATTGAAATCTTATTTAGAATTATGTGTGTGAAAAATTGAATGTGTTTTGGCCGCTATTTTAATAGCTACTGCCTAAAAACAATAAAAATCTGTGTGTGTGATCAGGTGACCTGTGACGGAAAAATATGTCGCCGTTTTTGTTGCAGATCTGCAACGGCTATTTCCGTCGCTATGTCTGTCGCAAATCTGCCACGGATTTTCAATTCCGTCGCAGATTCTTGGGGTTGAAAAAAAAAGACAAACCCGTTGCAGGTCCGTCGCAGATCTGCCACGGATTTTTAATTCCGTCGTAGATTTTAAATCTGCCACAACTTTTCTGCGACGGAACATTTTCGTTGCAGATCCGTCGCAGAAGTTAAATCTGCCACGGAATTTCAAATTCTGCAACGGAAATTGTCCGTGGCAAATCGGCAGTTTTCTTGTAGTGAATTTCTTCAAGAATTAGCTCTCAAATAGCTAAGAGAAATAGGAATGCTTATGCAATGAAAGAGTATATAAATGTTGAAGAATTGTGTATAAAATGAGAGGATTTGGGTGCCATTTTATAGCCCAAAATGGGATAAACCCGTTGCTAGAGTTTCCAATAGGATGAAGACAAATTTTTCAGGGACACAAGCTGATAGTCGATTATCCAAGCTTGATAATCGATTATCAAAAGATTCCTTGCCAAAAAATTTAAAATTCTATCCGTTGGGGGACAACGGTAACCCAGATAATCGATTGTCAACAAGTGATAATCGATTATGGGTCCTCTCAGAAGATTCTGGGTTTTGGCTGCAAAGGCTGATAATCGATTATTGCATAAGTGATAATCGATTATTGCGTGTTTCAGAACTTTGGATTTCAAAGCTGCAGAGGCTGATAGTCGATTGTCACTAAGGTGATAATCGATTATCACCCAGCTAAAGTCTAGCCAGCTGAAACCCGTTTGGAAAAACCGAGGTCCAAAAACGAAGTGTTCCCAAAAGTAAAAACCAAGTTTGAAAAACATTGTATATGGCATAAAATAGTGAAAACAAGACTTGTTCGGTAAAAACCATGTCTCCAAGGTCGTACATCACGTGCGTACGGTTTTGACCGTTTTTCACGTGTTAGACCGAATGACCAAGATACAAAAGTGGTTTTTATAAAAGAATTATTTGGGAACATTTTAAAAATGTTCAGAGGTAAAAACAGTGTTTAAAATATTGAAAACCACGGAGTTGGTTCGGGCGCCAAAAACTGAAAGCCGAACGCCGAAAGCCGAACGCCGACTTAGGTGCTTTCGGTTCCGAGCAAGGACCAGGGATTTTAACAATAAAAAATCATCAAAAATATTTGTTTTGATGCACAAAAAATATTTTATGATTTGTAAAAAATTGTTTTGACTCTTTGAGAACCGAGACTTGAATTTATTGTCGGTTTTGATCACAAAAGACCGACTCGACTAAGTCTTCAATTCTTGATCTTGTCCTTTAGTCTTTTTGGCCTCGTTCCAAGCCATTCTTCATGCCTTGAGTTATTCAACGAAACTCTTCATATCCACGGTGGTTTGGCAATTATCAAAACCTGTCAGAAATGAACACGACTTTAGTTTATCGTACAAAGTGTGTTCCAACAGGAAGTGGCTTATGGCTCTTGATATGGTTTTTGGCACATAGTGTGTTATATTGATGAAGTGAATCAAGTGGGGCCATAGGATATGGTGGTTTCGGCCAAAGAAGGAAAAAAGGAAGGAAAAAAATGAAACTAAGGTTTAGGGGTTTGTTTTTGGGTTTTGGGTTTTGTTTTAGTGAAGGACATATGGCCATTTAGGGTGGGGATCGGTTCAAGGTTATCATGGTGGAGTAATATGGTTTGGTGATGGTAAATTCATTCCAGAAAGGATAATAACACTTAGACATGATTCCACTGATTTGTTTAAGGATTTGATGATCACTTGTAGTACCCAAGGATATATCAAGGGCCGTAGTGATGTTGTCGATATGTAGATCCTAGGCTTCCATCTTCTTCGTCTGCTTTTGGTAGTTGAGTCTGGCTAGCTTCTGGTGTCCCTTACACACCATAACTCCCGTGTCTGTTGGGAATTTCATGTAGAGGTTCTTAAGAGAGGTGATTGAGTCCAGATCCTCTAAGGCTGGTTAACCGATGATGAGGTTGTGGGACACGATCAGATGGACCACCATGAACTCAACAAGGATCGTCCTCTTGTGCTCTCCATCCCCGATAGTGAGCATCACCTTGATCAAACCTTCCACATCGATGATATCACCTGTGAATCCCGACAAAGGGGTTCTCACTCTGCGCATGAGTTCCTTATTTAGCCCCAGCTCCTCGAACATCTTTACGTACATGATTTGATAGAGCTTCCGTTGTCAACATAAGAAGGATGGATCACTACATCGTTGATTTCACACTTAACAACCAGAGCGTCTCTATGAGGGGAAGGGATTTCTGGTGCGCCCTTGGGACCGAAGAGAACTGGCCCCAACCTTACCATTTTGGATGATCTAGGTGCGCTGCTAACATCGCCCGTGCAGGCCAAGTGTACCCACTTCTTTTTCTGCTCTGCAGAGTCACCTCCAATGTTGCCACCGTATATCATCAGGTTCTCCTCAACCCTCTTCTGCTTGTATGGAACCTTCTCTTCCTCATCACTCGGAAGGCTGATCTCCTTCCTCTTCTGTGGTAACTCTACCGCCTTCTTATTGTACCTCTGGATGGCTCCACTAAAACCCAACATCTCCCAAAATATCCAAAAAGCCTTTAATCTTCATTTGATAATCAAAATAAAGTCTTTTCCCTCCTTTTTTAGCCTTGGATGAAAATGAGGACCAAAAAGGCAATCCTTGTGTGTTATTTTCAACTTCTTTTGTTCCTTTCATTAAATAAGACCTTCCCCTTATTTTCCAACACCTTTCCCACGAAATTCCCTACCATTTTCATCCCAAAATCAGGCCTAAATAATCACACACAACAAAGGGACAAAATTAAGCAAAAGGTCTTTGATTGAATAGTAACTTCTTGTCCTATTATTCACTAAAAGTCAGGCCATGTTGTTTCCTTTGTATCACCATAATAGGGCCGAGTTTTACACAAAAAAGGAGGACTTTTCCATGCCAAAATACATCCCTAAAACCCCACTTATGAATAAAGCCAATACCCCTTTTCAAAGTCCAAAAGGGAATAGTGCTGAATTGTCCTATTATGCAATAAATCCAAGACTAGCCACATTATGTCTCTTTCCTTGTTCTTTCCCATTTAAGGCCGAAATATACCCCTCAAAATAGGCAATAGAATGCTTCATCACAGCCACATAATGTCCTTGACTTAATCCACATATGGCTAAAATCCTTATGCTAGAAAAGCCAAACAAAATCCACCATCTTTGTCCTAGAATTCAACTCAAATGGATGGTTGTGCATTAATGTCAAACATGTGATTTAGGAAGAAGAAAGGAAGCTGCCATTGTTGTTTTTTTGCTTCCCCTTGTTGTATATAATCTCGGCCATGAGGCCATTGTAAAGCAGATTGTTTGGAATGAAAATATTGTTTACTCTTTTTGAGTATTCTCTTAAAATAGTGTGATGCTATTTTAGCAAAATTTCCTAATGAAATATCTCTAAAGTTGGCTACTTTTGAGTGTGTGTTAGGAGTCTATTTTATACATTAGTAGTGATTATTATTGTGTGAAATAGATAATAGCCCCAAATATAGTAAGAGTGTGTTTATCTCTTATTCATTATTTGGTTTATCCATCCTTGTTTTCTGCCCATTTCGTTCCTCTCCATTTTCTCTTCCTAAGCCACATTCTATTCTATCTTCATAAATCAAAATACCAAAAAGAACTCCTTCATCACCTCCATATTTTACCCAGCCATTTCCAACAATCGATTATCATAAAAGTGATAATTGACTATCGGGCATCTCTGAACATTCTTGGTTTGGAAACAATTTCTTGTTAATCGATTATCAGTTAATGATAATCGACTATCACTAGTTTCTGAACTTTGGAGTTCAAAGTTGTTTCCTTCTTGCTTCCATTTCCTCCGTAAACCCGCCATCAAATTGATTACTTGACAAGACCCCGGGTCTCGGGTACAACATTTGGTATCAGAGCTATATTCAAAGACTTCCTTAAGTCTCGACGATCACCTTGAGGACCGGCTTCACAAACGTTACCCGAAACAAGGTTGCTGAATTTTTTTCTCCAGAAACATTCAGCTCCAAACAATTGAGCACGGAGGAAGTTACACAACATATTTTGAAGCAAAATTTTCCAGAATGAAAGTTTGATGTTTTTGCTACACGTGGCCGCTGATTTCACTCAATTCCGAGTTGTGGTTTGTGAGATACGCCCTCCCGAAGTTGATAACACAACCCTAGGTGAGTTCTGTCTACCTTGCAGAATTTGTCTCCAAAGAGGTAGCAAACGTTCTTTAGTGGCTCTATATTTTTTATATGTCTTTATGGACATCACTATTTAGCTGTGAGAGTTGGAATTACCTAATTCCGATCTCCGGTTTGTGAGATATGGTCTCTAAAAGACACCTCCGAAATCTGGAAATCATCCTTGCAAATGGAGCAATATTACAATGGGCCACTCGGCGGTGTTTCATGTGTGGTGGTTGTGGTCATGGCCATTGGGAATGTTCAAATAAGTATGCCATACCATATGAAGAGTGGGTCATGATTCATGAGGAGGAAAAGAGAAGCTCATGTGACCAAGTTGTCATTGAGGAAGACGTCTTTGATATTCTTGTCAAAAAAGAAGATGACGTCTTCGTAGAAGAACCAGCTTCTAATGCTCAGGAAGAATCACACTATAATGATTCTTTCCTTATTCATGATGACTACGTTGATGAGGTAGTTATAGAGGAAGCCACACCGGAAGATATATATTCTAAGGAAGTGATTTCCATAGAGTATTATCCTCTTTTCAAGGAGGGAAAATCTTATCTCATCTCTGAGGTATGTTTGAAGCAGGTTCTTACAAGGAATGGCATCATGTTCCAGAAATTACACAACGAGGTGTCCACTAATTCCGGAAGGAGCCTCATTATTGGTGGTTCATTGAATTTCCCATTTGATCCGGGAATTCTTATATGAATCCCCAATCTTTCACGGTGGTGCGAAAGTTTGAGGAAAAACTTTCTTCGAAGAAGGGGAGTATGTTGTACCCCTGGATGGCTCCACTAAAACCCAACATCTCCCAAAATATCCAAAAAGCCTTTAATCTTCATTTGATAATCAAAATAAAGTCTTTTCCCTCTTTTTAGCCTTGGATGAAAATGAGGACCAAAAAGGCAATCCTTGTGTGTTATTTTCTACTTCTTTTGTTCCTTTCATTAAATAAGACCTTCCCCTTATTTTCCTACACCTTTCCCACGAAATTCCCTACCATTTTCTTCCCAAACTCAGGCCTAAATCATCACACACAACAAAGGGACAAAATTAAGCAAAAGGTCTTTGATTGAATAGTAACTTCTTGTCCTATTATTCACTAAAAGTCAGGCCATGTTGTTTCCTTTTTATCACCATAATAGGGCCGAGTTTTACACCAAAAAGGAGGACTTTTCCATGCCAAAATACATCCCTAAAACCCCCCACTCATGAATAAAGCCAATACCCTTTTCAAAGTCCAAAAGGGAATAGTGCTGAATTGTCCTATTATGCAATAAATCCAAGACTAGCCACATTGTGTCTCTTTCCTTGTTCTTTCCCATTTAAGGCCGAAATATACACCTCAAAATAGGCCAAGGAATGCTTCATCACAGCCACATAATGTCCTTGACTTAATCCACATATGGCTGAAATCCTTATGCAAGAAAAGCCAAACAAAATCCACCACCTTAGTCCTAGAATTCAACTCAAATGGATGGTTGTGCATTAATGTCAAACATGTGATTTAGGAAGAAGAAAGGAAGCTGCCATTGTTGTTTTTTTCCTTCCCCTTAATGTATATAATCTCGGCCATGAAGCCATTGTAAAGCAGATTGTTTTGAATGAAAATATTGTTTACTCTTTTTGAGTATTCTCTTAAAATAGTGTGATGCTACTGCCGCACGCCGAGTTTGTCTATAACCAAACCCCAAAAAAGACCACAGGGCTATTCTCGTTCATGGTGGTCTATTGTTCGAACCCCCTCACCCCACTTGAGCTTGATCCCATCGTAGGAAAAGAGCAATACAGTTAGGCAGCTGATCAACGGTCCAAGGAAATTCAAGAACTCCACGAAAAGGTTCGAGAGAAGATTGAAGCGGTAAATGAGAAAGTTAGTAACAGGATCAACAAAGGAAGAAAATTCACAAGTTTTCAGCCCGGTGACTTGGTTTGGATTCACTTAAGGAAAGAGTGTTTTCCCGCTAAACGTAAGTCCAAGTTACTACCAAGAGCTGACGGCCCATTCGAGATTTTAGAGAAGATCAACGACAACGCCTACAAAGTCAATTTTCCTGGAGATTACGGAGTTTCTGCTACGTTCAACGTTAAGGATCTCAGTCCATATTTTGACCCTGAAGAACTTCCGAGTTTGAGGACAAACTCTTCTGAAGACGGGGAGGATGATATATCCCAGCGCACCACCAATCACCCTCAAGTCGTTAAGGAAATCAATGGAATAATGTCCAAGTGTTATGACCCCCTCTGGAATGAAATCATCAACAAACCATGCACCCTAACCATACTTACCCTGAACCCATCACCACCTTAATAACCAATCCCAACATTTCACAATCCATTCCCAGGAATCCAAAGAAAACCAAGCCACAATTTCCCTTTCTTCTTATTTTACAATGCCGAAAATAAGTGTCCAAAAACACACCCAGCATGGCCCCCATTATGTTTCCCAATACACTCAAATTATAACCCAAAATGCCCACGGATATTTTCCTTCACAATAATACATCCAATCCCCACAACAAACCTACAACAAAACTCCAAATGACACACCCCACCCACACCCCTTTGTCTCCCAACCCTGACCAAATTCAAATTCCCCCAAAACCTCCACAAATACCCAGCCAAATGTACCACTTCATCTTACCCCCACTCCTTGGCCCTCAACCTCAGCCCTCGCCACATTCATCCCTCCTTCCCCCCAACAATTCTTGCAACTCAGGAACAGCCCAAAACCCCACCAAACAACCCATATCCCTGATTTCATTCCACTTAAGAAACATAAGCACATGGGCATTATTTTGAGTGAGTTGTATTTTCCCTCATTCCCTCCAATGAAATCCTATATATTCAGCAATAGGCCTGGGTGTAGAAACACATTGTATTCCCTTTTAAATCAAAGTGATTCACTTGTGTGTTTCATTCCAAATTCCTAATCCTATATCTTAAGAGTGGTTCTCTTGAGTGTGAGTTTTAGGTTCTAGTTATTTAAGTAAGTGTGTAATATCTTATTTAAATGCTAGATT